AGAAAAACATTTGGTGTTATTGATGCATGCAGTAAGCGGGACTTTATCAGAAGAATGTAACTGCTAGGGAAACAGAGATAAGGCAGCTAGATATTTTTGCAGACTAAACTGAAGGCCATGGATGCATACAAGGACAGACTTTGCAAATTCTTTGTTCCTTGAGGCAGGCTTTGCAATCTCCTCAGGTGGGCAGCCTGACCTGGGAGCAGCCCGATTTTCTGGACCACAACTGTTTAGTTGCAATCCTTTGGTTAAACTGCCCCCAAGACTGACAACTTTGGTTTAGTTGCTCCCAAAATAAAGGTTTACCATCTCTGGTTTAGAGGATGGATTAAATAGCTTCTTTCCTTAAAGAAGTACAACAAATGCTTATTTATTTTCCATTAAAACTTGCTAAGTGCTAGAAGACATACAAAAAATTGAGAACTTCACTCATTTCTTGTCTTCCTAATTTCAAACAAAAATTTAATCTATTTATGTAATCATTGGCAACTCATTTTAAGAAAAGGAGCGTCCTTTGTGAGTAGGGCTGTGATGAATTCAATAATGATTATGCAAAGATTGAGGAAGGCAGTATCTTATAGACACAATAATGATGTGCATTGTTTTTGTTGTTAAGTGTTGTTGAGTCGATTCTAATTCACAATGATCCTGTACATGGTTTTCGAGGAGTGGCTGGTGGGCTTGAACTGCCAATATTGTGATTCATACTGACCTTGTGGTCCAGTGCTTGGCCTACAGTACTACAGTTGTTATTGTTGTTGTTAAGTGCCTTTGCCTGTCCCTCATAGCAACCCTGAATAGGGTTTCCAAGGTGTGGCTGGTGGGTTTGAACCATTGATGTTGCAGTTAGCAGTTCAGTGCTCTCTGTAACATATAAAGAATTAAATAGTTGCTGTGTTCTGCATAATATTTCACATTGCAAAAGAATATGCCTTATCTTTTTTTGAAATCAACACTTGGTAAATCTTTCCATGGGTGAACATTCTTGAGTATATGGACTTTAAACTCTGCCTTTATTAAGCACAAAGTGTTGTTGTTATTGTCTGGTGCCATCGAGTTGGAACCAACTCATAGCCACCCATGCACAGCAGAACCAAACATTGTCCGATCCTGAGCCAACCTCACTACCGCTGCCACACTTGACGCCATCAATGATGCCACCTGGCTGATCCATCTCATTGGGGGTCTTCCTCTCCCTCTCTGACCCTCCATCTTACTCAGCATGACATCTTTCTCTAGCGACTGTTCCCTCCTGACAATATGTCCAAAGTACGAGAGACAAACCTTAGCCATCTTGGCCTCCAAGAAGCACTCTGGCTGCACCTCTTCCAAAACAGATCTACTGGTTCTTTTGGCAGTTCATGGCACTTTTAGTATTCTCCTCCAACACCAC